CCCCAAAACCCCAAAACCCCAAAACCCCGTGGGAAGTGGGATAGGTTGAAAAATAGAAAAGTGTGAGGAGGGATAGAGGGGAAGGGGGTTAGGTTATGGATTGTTTTAAGGGGGATTTGTGATGTGAGAGAGTGGGTTTAGGGAAATTTTTGGTCTCTTGGCTGTCTTCTTGTTTTTCAACAAAGCCTCAGTCCTGCTTTTCTCAATATCGCGATCAGTGCTAATACACTTGTTGATCTTGTTCCAAATTTTGACTGAGAACTTTCGAGATTTTTCTCTAAATTTTGTGTGGCTTTAAGCACTTTAGCTTTGGGCGAGTTTGAGATTTGTGAAGAGATTTGATGTCGTTTATGAAGACGTTCTTCTGGTGAGCCTTCTAGCAAGCTTTCTGATTGGCTTAGCACCAAGGGCTCTGGTGATCAAGGAGCTGGAGGAAACTCGACAGTTTGAGTGAAGGTGGTAGTGGTGATGGGAGATTCTGGAATTTGGGATTTTAAGTGAAGAACTTGGGACTGAAGAGTGGTTATTTGGGATTTTAGGGTGTGTATTTCAGTATTTTTTGAGGATAATAAGGCCTCTGAAACACCCTTGAGTTGTTTTTGAGGGAAATCTTGGTGGCTATTGTGCATTTTATCCATTAAAAGTATTTTCTTTTCTAAGCCTTCAGCCTCTTTGTTGAGGTCTGAATTTTGATTCCTTAGTTTTTTGTTTGTATTTTTAAGAACTTGTACTATTCCTTTCAAATCCTCTATTTCAGTATTCTTTTGCTCTACTGTTATCAAAGCCTATACCATAAAAATTAGATCTGAATATTTTTCTTCTACTTAAAAAGGCTCTTTAAAACTCTATACCTCTTGAAGTTTAACTTCGACTGTCTGCTTTTTGGAAACTTCCTGTTGTAACTCCTTCCGTTTCCTCAAATACCTAACTTCATATGTATTAAAATCCTGTGAATCAATATAAAATTTGAGTGCTCTGATCTCGTCTCTCAACTTAATGGTCTCATCTGTTGACTTTTCTAAAGAAGTCATGAGATCGTTCACGAATTATGGGATTTTTGACATACCTCAAGAAGCCTCCAAGGCATTAGCATCTAATACGATCATTGACTTGTTCATGTCATCTCCAAAAGGATTGTCTAATATGATCTCTGATACCTGCTTTTTGTGGCAAGGTTTTACAATAGGTGAATCAATGGGCTTAGAAACACTCTCTTCTATCTTCTTCTTAAATTGCTTTAACTTGGACCGAACACGTGAGGTCCTGAACCTTGGAGTTATACTTTTCCGTATCTTTACCTATGGAATTGGTGAGACACAGTGTAATTAAAATCATACGCTATCGCCTCTATGCAGCCTGTTGACTGACTCCTGTTGTTCCCTCTTGCACCTAAACTTTGTTTGAGTGGGCAATTTTCTGAGTTTCTTCCCTGATAGTGAAGAATTTGAATTTTCACTTTGGGTCTTATCCATTTTAGTTTAAAGTATTTTACAAATTATAGAATACTTAGGGGTTTTGGGGTTTTGGGGTTTTGGGGTTTTGGGG